CGTCAGCAGCCACCAACGCGCGTCACACTTCTCTCTTCTCCAACGACGTGAGCAGCCACCGGCGCATGTCAGACTTCTCTCTTCTCAAAGTTTCCAGTTTCCATGCCAGCTAGTGTCCAAGCTTCCTCTTGCTTGAGCCAGAGTTCAGCTTGAGGGGGATGTTAGACAATAATAATAATAGTACTTCTTGTAGTATTGGTTATGGTAGTGTTTCATTATTAGTCAGCTTCCTAATCCTATTTGTGGTAGATGTTGTATGTTAGTTAGTTTCTATTCTCTATTCCTAGTTGTGTTAGGAGTCTCTCCTATATATACTCTATCATGTACTTCATAATTCAATGACCAATATTACTATTCCAATATTTCAACAGTATATATAAATATATATACTTTCATCTTTTATCAAAAACACAAAGGTACAGTGACAATGTTTAGAGGCTGTCTTTTCCTTCTCGGCTTGGGCATGCACGTGAAAATCCATATGAAATGGGCCCCATTTTTTCGCATTATTTTTAGAGCTCGATGCCGGAGTATATATCATCCTTGAAAAAATTTCTCCGTCTCTCTAGCTAATTCAATCAAAACGTTAATTAAACTTAGAGTGAAAAAAAAAGAACTTGTTTTAATTAAATTATTTGTTCTTATTTTGTTTCCAAAAAAGGGTAGAGTCATTACACTTGCCATTCGTTCTTAATTACGGCACGTCCCATTCCAATATTCAAATTTCAGAAAATTTCGGTTAAAACTCAAGGGAAAAAAATGCGTTGTGTGTATGATGTACCATAGTAAGGACTATTAAGAACTACTCCCTTCGTACTAAAATTAATTTCTCATTTTACTTTTCATGATCTCCAATACGATACTTTGACCATCAATATCTCAATTTTTATATTAATATATTTTATAAAAATTATATATTTCAAAACCATGTTTCAAAATGAATCTATTGCTAATAAATTTATATGAAAATTTAATGTATTTTTTCCGTAATATACGATCAAAGTTTAAAAAGTTTAACTATAAAATTCAAATTGGGAAGTTAATTTTAGGACCGAGAGAGTAATTCGTATGTAATAGGAAGACTCCTAATATTATTTAGTTTCCTTATTCTTGTATTACCATAATTACTTTATTCCTTTCCTACTAGGAATAGGACTCTCTCTTATAATCCTTATATATAGGAACATATCTCTCAATATTCAATAAGACAAATTATTATCAAATTGTATCATGGTATCGGAGCCTAGGTTTAAACCCTAGCCCTTTTTTTTCGAGACTGTGCCTTCACCGCCGGTCTTCTTCCTCTCGCCGGTCGACCATAAACGGCAACCATGGCTCAATTTTCAGATCCGCTTGCTTCGCTTCCTTCTGGTGTCAAGCTTATTCTCCGCAATCTCCATAATCTTATCCCAGAGAAGCTCACCGATTCAAATTATCCTGCATGGTCTCTCAATGTCAAAACTGCTCTCGAGGCCAACCTTCTTCTTGGTTGGATCGATGGTCATGAAGCTGCGCCTCCAAAAATCCTATCCAAGGATGGCAAGGAAAACCCTAACCCAGAATTCCAAACATGGATTGTGATTGATACTCAGATTCGTGCATGCCTTCTTCCCGTCATCAGTCCGTCTGTTCACAAGCATGTCTGCAACTTCACCACATCTGCCGATCTATGGAACGCTCTCGCTGCCCGGTATAATTCTGTTTCTACCGCTCACATCTATCAACTACGGGACAAACTTCACACACTCCGAAAAGGTACAAAAACTATCACCCAGTACCTTGATGAAGTTGCCACTATCCTCACTGATTTGGATGCTCTCAACGAGGTTATTCCTGAGAGAGATGTGGTGAATGCTGTTATCCGAGGCCTCCCTCATGAATATTCCTCCTTCAAGCAAAATATACGGATAAACAATGAGAATATAAGTCTCAATCAACTCTCTGGGTGGCTAACCTCTGAAGAAATAAATCTTGAAATCGAGCAAAAATTGAGTATTGCAGATTCCGCCTCCGGAGTTTCTCACTCTGCACTGTATACAAACAACGGTCGAGGCCGCGGTCGAGGAGGACCGAACGGTCGACCGTTTTCTGGGCGAGGATCTGGATCCGGTCGCAGCGGTCGAAGCTACGGAAGGGGGGGAGGCCGCGGACCTTCACGCGATCTTCCAGTATGTCAGATCTGTTCAAAGCGTGGCCACTCTGCTGCTACCTGCTGGTACCGCTATGATGATTCTTCTACTGAGAGCAACTCGGCTACCAATTCTCGTGTTATGCATGCAACCACAAGCAACCAAACTGGTGATTGGTACCTTGATACAGGTGCTAATACTCATGTTACGCATGATCTTTCACAGCTGCAAACTCCG